CTCGATCAAGATCGGTCGTCGAGGCGCGAATCTACAGTTCACTGTTTAGGGCCTTGAAGGCGCGGCCGGTAACCAGTCGCTGGTACGCAAGCCTCCGAGTCTGACGGCACACATTTCCGCCGTGTACCTTGATTTTCACCACCAGCTGTCTGAGGACGCCTCAACTTACGTTACAAGGCGCAGTCTGAGAACATGCAGTCTGTCCCATAATTAGGCCAGACCGGATCCTGGCTTAGACGTCTGGGCTGTGCGTCCACTGCACTACGTCATCATGACGACACATGTTAGCCAGGTCCCGAGGCTTGCGCGTGCCAGGCTTCTCTCCCGGTAACTCGGTACAGATGGTGGGTAATAAAGCGACTTTCGGCTTCCAGGCTGTCGGCTTCTGCGTGTCGGGCTACATGAAAGATGCCTGAGTTAATGCGCACAATGTATTACTCACAGGGAGCGTCCTCTGTCTTTGTCTACCCCGTGGTGACCATCTAATGCTGTTCGAATGACCGCCACGTTCGCCCCGGCTAAGCGTACTCGGTGTGGATACTACTTGGTATTCCTAAATTGCCCATGCCACTTTTCGTGCACGCTAGCGGATGATTTGAAAGTTCAGGCACAGGTGTCGCGAACAACCCTCGTCTTCGTCGTTATTATCTTGACTCCAGTTATTTACAAACGCATCTCAAGTGACACTTTTGTAAAAACCACTGCTGTCTTGGTAGGTTATGTAGCAGGGCAGTATCCGCATGAGAAAGGATTTGCAGACTTTCCCTCTCTATCTCTTCCTTCCTAAAAAAGGTAGGCTAACTGTCAGCCTCAGAATATGTACACATAGAACGACCTCGTCCCACCGACAGCAGACCTCACAGGTTTGCTGACAGGCTACGGCGCTATTCGCGGACATATGCGTCATGTATGCCAACCGTACTGTTATATTTTTACGAGGTGGTTGAAAGCACCCATGTTTCCCTTACCGAGCTCATTTGGGCCAGGTAAATCTACCTCTCCTAGAGGTACTACTGTACTGCTTTTGGCTGACCACGTTGTTAGACTGAAGTAAGCAGGAGTAAGTTCTACTTCCTCCTCTAGATCCTGGTTACAGAGTTCAAATGTCGCGTCTGTCTGGTCCGAGCTTAAACTATGGCTGTCTGGCAATGCCAAATCTCGCCGAAAGCAAACATTCCAGTCTGCCTAGTCCTCGTCCGTAATACTTATCGGTAGTCGCTGGACGTTCGTCTGCGGGGATTCTAGACCGCGGCTCAAATAAAAAGGTGTTCACCATATTCTCTCCTGTGTGTGGGTCAGATCGGTGAGATCCAGTTGCACGTGACTGAACATTCTCGTTTGCAACCAGCAGCGCTTGAGTCCGCAATCCGGCATTATCTCTAATGACCACCTGAACCAGGGTGCATAATGTGGGTCCTTTCGGCCTAGGCTTAACTTGGGGCCGACTGGGGACACTAAATAAGCCAGAAAGTGTCAATCTGCTTTTATCCGTAATCTCTTGCGGTGTAAAGTTCGGTTTAACGTCCCTCCCCCTCATCTCGATTTACCACAGGTTGAAATATTTTACATGGGGTGCATGAGTGTCCAATCGAAATTGGTCTTTCGGAGTAAGCGGACAATGAACAAGTCAATCTTTACCTCATCTGCAGTGCTGTGTCCATTATTATCATTAATTTGAAATAGCAACTGTTCTGGGGCCCGTCCTGCCTTCCTCCTCC